TCTCAATTTCCTGATGGCGCATCTTACATGTCATTAAAATCTGTATAGAGAATGTCATCTGAAAAGGTGAAAGCTCATATAGGAGAGAAAGCAATAGAAAAAAATATATAAACAAAAGAAAGGTATGATAATGAGCGATCAATTACCAAGAACATCAAATTTATTAACATTGTATACGACTCTGCATACTGAAAATTCAACTATGTTTAATGATATTTCAAGTGACCCAGATCCAGAGTGGGAATTAATCATTCAGCTGATATGGACATTTACTGACTATTTCACATTCAGACATTTGAAAAGTGATAATATTGAAAAATTAATTTCTGTGCTCTGAATTTATTGTCATGGAAAAAGTACTTGGGTTGTGTTTTAAGTGGCGACTAATTTTATTGCATGAATATCATTTGGTGTTAACATATGATAAAATGTTTAATCATGATAAAAAGTGAAGTGTTTCAACAATCTTACAAAATGACATGTTTATAATAACTGCTACTGTTACAGTGGGAATTAGTCATTCTCCATTTAGAATGATGCGCAATAGCATTACAACTAAACAGTTGCTCTAGTATTAAACTGAAATTGGCTGAGAATTTTGTCCTTCTTGCGAAAATGATATTTCTTTCAGTTTGTTACATTAATAACTGAATTATGAGGAATGGGAAGAAGGTAGTCACAAAGCAATATATTAAATAATAACTGAGCAAGTGAAGAACATCAAACTGACCATCGACATTCTGAAATTAATAATAATTGCCAAACGTGATACCGAAGAACTGCATGAAAGCTTATAATAATAATATTGGTGAACTACGTTTAACGCGAAAACGCTTAAGACGAAATATCGGTTAACACGAAATAATATAACGATTCCGACAAACTAATATATATTTTCATGAATTTTGTTTCTCTTAACACGAAACAAAAATCGGTTAACACGAAAAGATATTTCTGCGAATGAACAAAATACGGAAAACACCGGCCTCGCAGGCGAGATTTAAGAGGGGTGGGAAATGAAAGTGAGGTGGTTTCACATGTTTCGTAGACAGGAGACTAACTTGGCTTTGAAATACCTTCGAAATAGCCTGTGACACAAGCCAGTTTTCTTTATCTAAACTACTTTCATCTTCGACTCCTACAAACATCTCATCTCTTATCAATTGGTTCTGAAATTAGGTGAGTACATCGCAGTGCAAGGGAAAATTTGTGAGTATGGTTCATATGTTGCACTCTGCATGGAATTCAGTGACTTCGAGGACGAATAAAAATTGTTTTCGTCATGCATAATTCTCAAAAGTATCAGATTCTTTGCCGCCAAAAGAAATGAAGAAGAAGGCTATTGAAACCGAGCCGACACTTAATAAAATGCTTGAGAAAGTTTCTGCATTATTGGTCTGTCCTACTGTATTATGGGAAGAATTCGTTACAGTAGTTGATGATAATGTGTGTGCAGCCCCAATTTTGGCAGACAAAGGCATTTTGGAGTTTGTTCAAAGCTCATAAACGATTCCAACGACAAAAATGAAATGAATAATGCAGCTTCTTTTCCCACGTCATCCGAAATGAGGAACATCATAAAAAGAATCTGCAGTTATTTAGACGCACATTCCAATTGCGAAATGAATAACAAAATGGACGACATCGAACACTTTGTTAACAGCTTGATGCTAAAAAAGACAATGCAAAAAAAATATCAGATTATTTTTCAAAAACTCGATAAATGTTTTGTTTTTCAAAAAAATTGAAAATTTTGTATTAAATTTCATGAAGTTCTTGTGGATGTTTTTGTTTCATTGATTTTTATTAAAGACTTGCATATATACATATTTATGTAAATGAAATACACTCTAATAAATCTAATTTTGTTGAATATATGTTTTATTTTGATATCCTTTAACACGAAAAATATTTCAGTCCCCTCAGTTTCGTGTTAAACGATTTTCACTGTATTACATTTAAGAGGAAGTTCCTCCTCCAAGTCACCAAATTTTTAATCTCGGAGTAGGAAATCTGGCCCACTTTTACTTCTTTTTATTACAAGCCATTTGCCTTTTACAAAAATAGTTTGAATTAGTGTAATATCATAACGCTGTGGTAATGAAAGATTTTCAATGCCTCTGAGATTTAACAGAAATAAATGTAATTATGCTGTTATCAGAAACGCTCTTTTTTTACCTCTACATCCATATATATCTTTACTTTTATTTATGTCTAATTGAGTTTTATTTACTTAAAACCTACTATTAATGTTATATATATTTATTAATAACTACTTTTATAATTACTCTCACTTGAAGAAAAAATATGATGAAATCTTAAATAATCGTAACTTAGAATTTAAGTTATTTAAAAAATATAGTTTAAAGTACTGAAAGTAATTAAGGCTATTATTAATTATGCATATTTAGTCTAAAGAGAAAAAAATTGTATTATCTTCTGGGTTTCAGGAAAGATAAAATATTTAAACTTTAGATAAAGACAGGAAATACAAAATTTTAAAAAAGAAGAAAAATGTATTAATTAATTATTAAGCTTATTTTTCTGCATAAATCAATATGTAACACATAATAACGAAATTTTCACAACTGTTGCAAAAAGCTGGAATTTGGCGAACATTTAGGCGGACGTCTTTCGCAAGTGATGTTTCGGTTGTTATCACCTACGAAAGGCGCAATAACGACGTTTATGTGACAAAAACCTCATCTACAAAGACGTAATAAAGACGTCTTTGCAACAGTTGCAAAACGGTGGATGTTCGCGGACATCTGGGCATCTTAAAGACGACATATTGCAACGTTTTTGCAACGACATCTGCGACGAGTTTGCAACGTCGTTATGACGTTGCTGTGCTACTTGGTATATGTATATTTGAACAAAATATTATTGCATTAATTGAAGTTCATACATCATGCAAAAAAATTATGGTATTCTAACCCATGAAAAATTCACTCTTTAAAATCGAAATATGCAATTACAAATTTTTGATTATCATTCAACAGAATTCATAAGTAATGTAAGTTATATATATATAACGATTTTTGTTCTGGAATATCTTATTCCTGTTTTCCAAACGATTATTTTTAGCGATATTCTAACAAAAATTAGTGTTCTGCGTCCCGCATAAATAGTTCAGTGAGGGCTAAAAATTCATGGAACTGGTAAGGCATCATGCGAAAGTGATTAAAAGAAGTTTCGAAATCGTAAAAATTTAAAATATCACATCAAAATTAATTTTTCCCCCAAGTTTCCAATATGAAGAGCTATCTAGTGTGCGCATATTATAAATTTTAAAACTAAAGTTTCCGAGTTGGTGTGAATTAACGTAAAAACGTAAATTAACGTAAACGTAAACGCGAATTAACGTAAACGCGGAAGCGTTTTTTTTTTTTTTTCGCGTTCCCGCTTTTCCCACCAAGGGACCAGTGTAAACGCAAATGTTTCCCGTAAAAAATGCCGCCCCTAAAAATGTGCCGGCCGGAACGTACCACCTCCTCCTCTCCTCACTAAATATTCCCCTGTTTTTGACTTCATAAAGGTTGAAATTTCCAATTTGAGGAGTACATGACTGCGAAATTGAGAAATCAAGGATGCAATCAGAGAAACGATTTAAGCGACTACAGTCTTGAAAGAATTTTGTCCATCCTTTCCCGTCGGAAAAAAGGTTTATAAACGCATCATGTACTAATAAATAAACAAAAAAAATGACGTTTCTTTCTTGAAATATTTTTGAAAATATCCTGAATTTTGATGACTTCTGGAAGAAAATAAAAAACTCATTCTTTCTTTATGAAACTCATTCTTTCTAAACTTCTTTCTTTATGAAATCATGTCAACAACGTCAGCAGCTCAAGCTATTACTTTCTTTCTGAAAACATTATAACAAAACCTAAGCTGCTTCATAGTGAGTCATAGTACCTGCTATTCTTTCTTCATTTTGGAATTTCTTATTACGTTCTCATGTAACAGAGATTCAGTGTTGCATTTAAACGTGTGAAATTATGAATTTATTTGCTAAATACGACAACTTCTGGAGAAATGATTTGATTGCCAATACTTCAGTTTGCAGTACTTAAGTTATCTACTTGTTCTACGCAAAATATTGCAAACAATGTATTAATTTTGAAGTATTCACCCTCCGGTGCAAGGTTATTCGACCCTCGGTGCAAACTATGTAACTTCTAAACTAAGCCTCCGGTAGCATGATGCAACTACACCGGTTGCACCGGCTCTGGCCTCGATCCTAGAAATACAACAAGCTGCTTGCATGTGCGAATTCGGTATGGAAAAGAATAAAATATCTGAGATGGGCGAAGCTGAGAGCAATGTGAAACAGTTCTTGATTTCCATTCAATCGTAATTTATTCCTCATTTGTTGATTTACTACATACTAGTTTATAAAACAGCCATTCAACTGCTGCTGCTGTAACTACTTCAACACAGTCATACAACTTCAGATGAGCAGAAGTAAGTACGTCAAACATTAATCACGGGTAATTGCATTTAGTTTTAAATGTATTTAAGATAGTCAAACTGCTAATTCTTCACAGAATATGGTTGTAAACTATTCTTTAGGACTGAAAGTTTATACATTTCAAAATACTGTATGATTATTGTTCTCTGATGATAAATTTGCTTGTGAAAACAGGTTGAGTATTGAACAATCAACAGAAATAACATTCCGCTTAAGCTTTAAAAAAATTACGTCATTTAGTTTATTATTTATCTTCAAATTCTATAAAGGCAGATAAATAACTATTTAATTTCAAATATCTACCTATATGCAAGCACTAAAATGTTTAAAACTGTAGCCTTCGAAATAAGCTGGTTTGTACGAATGACGTCATGATAATCCACCAATCAGACCGCCCGCCCCGCCTCCGCAGATCGCAGATTGACATAAGCTGGGAAGCCGTTACTTAAGGTTTGTTTCTCCAGGAAGTGCTGAGTAGCGCATGCGCGACCTTTAGTGTCAGAGAAGGAGAAACGGATGCTCGGTGGGTTATCACTCGCAAGGTTTCCACAAGGTAGTTTGTAGAAGTTAGCCGATCCACTTGCTCTATATCAAAATGTCGGCGGTACCTCGCAGTGATCAAGAAAAAAGAAAGCAGATTAGCGTTCGGGGAATAGCTGGTGTCGAAAATATCGCAGAAGTAAAAAAGACATTCAATCGGCACTTGCATTACACTTTGGTCAAAGACAGAAATGTTGCTACCCAGAGAGATTATTATTTTGCTTTGGCTCATACTGTTAAAGACCATCTAGTGGGGCGGTGGATTCGGACGCAACAATATTATTATGAGAAAGATCCGAAGGTAAGAAAAAAGAAAAAAATGCTTTTCATTTTTGCATGAGTTATGTGTTGCACACTTTGCATTAATAACCGCTGTGCAAAAATAAAATTTCTCTGCAACTTCCGTGTATTAAGTTTCGCTAAGCGCTTATCACAGTCCATTTATAATCATATGTTATAGAAAAGGAAAGTTTTCTAAGCTTTTCAGTTAAATGTTACAACATATTAACAGCTGCTAAAGTTATAATACTTAAACTTATTTTAGCGTGTAATTTAGGTTTCTGTTATTAATATTAGCCATTTCATAAATCCATTCTCTACAAAGTCGAAAAATTTTACGCGAAAGGTTATTTTTCTTGAAATATTAATAAAAATTCTGTTACAAAGTAAATAATTGTTCTTTGACAATTTATTTGTATTAAATTTCGATTGACATCTTTATTTTTACTTAAAATTTTGTTTTAGTTGGTAATTAAGGGCAAAAATTTGATAGAACTCTTGTCCTGTTAGAATTAAGTAGCTGTCGTATGTCGCATTTGTGCTGTTATCACGAAGTAAATGTGCTTTTATTTTATTTATTTTTTTTAAATATGGGAATCATCAGATTAAAGTTGAGAACTAGATCTTAGAAATCCGAAAGTAAGTAAGCTCGGATCATATTCTGTAGTCTTTGACGGATAATTAAGAGAAAATATTTGTACTTCTTTAAAATTTGACAGCGCACTTTACTTACCGGTTTATGTGTCATACTCTTTAAAGAATATAAAACATGATGAGTAGATTCTAGGGTTTACTTTTATTCATGAACGAAAGTAAAATTTCTTACCAAATGAACTTTCAGTGTTTTCATTTTAAGTTAATCGTATTCAAAGCGTACATAAGTTTTTCCTGCTAACGGTTTCCTGATTTTACCAACTGGTTTTTATATTTCAGTTATGGTGCATTTGATTAATATGGCTTACTCTATCTAGAGATGCGAGAGTGAGTTAAACATTTACCTGCTTTTTAATGAAGTTGATAACTTTGTATTTTCTTCTAAACTCATTAAAGGTAATTTAACCTATAAATGTGAAATTAGATTTTTCGTTGCTTTTTGGCCCCCATCAGTGACCGATCGGTTAAAACCACTGAATTCTGGAAGTTCGACTCTGCTTCGAGCCTTTGCGAACGCGCAGACTTCATGATTGATTATCCCTATAGGTAACGTGAACACAAGCCAGATTTTCTTAGAAAGTCTCGACGAAGGCTTTGCCTTATTATTTTGCATTAGGCGCGACTTTTTAGTTTTATGCATTTTGAATTATTACATGGTTTAAATTAATGTAGAATTGTTAGTTTCAAAGTTTATATCAAACTTCAGTATTATGTTACAGCTAAAGAGCAATTTGTAACCTATATATGTTAAGAATCGCCTAATCGAAAGCTTTTTAGCATTATTTTTATAGCTGAACAGTCAGAATTTGTATTTTTTGGCAATTTTTATAAATCTTTATTACATTAAATCCATGTAATGTAAAAATAATTTCGAAACCTTTAAGTAAATGAATATTATTTCCATGCTAATTTAAATTCACCTGTACGGAAACTGTCAAATGAACCTCGTGATAAAAATCTATATTTGCAACCCCTCTTGTGCGAGAGAAATGCGATCCAAGATTTGGCTCGTCATTGCTATTATTGTGCCAACTTGAGGCACTAACGGCAAGCACATCTCTTCTCCCCCCCCCCCACTCCTCAGCCTTCTACCTTTGTAACTAAGGTTAAAAGGTCATATACTGTTGCTTTTGTTGCTCTTCATTTTCTTGAAATCGCCAATAGCTCAATAATTTCAATTCCTTTGCATAATTTTATTAAATTTTTGAGTAACGAAAGATATTTTATGAGGCTCCTTCACTCACATTTTCTAATCTTTGTCGAGCAGTCTGCATACAATGGCAATCGATTTACTCTTTTCTCTTTACGTGTGATTCACAACTTACCTCTTTTGCAGGTGTTTAGGTTATGATTTCTAAATATCAGGAAGTAATAAAATCCATAAATACCATACGTAAGAAAGATTTCGAATTCTATTTTAGAGCCCTAGGTATTTGTGGAATGAATCGGTATTATATGTAGTTTTATTTGTAATAAATAGGACTTTTATGTAAAGTAGGAGCAATAAGAAAAGATCGAATAAAGATCTTAGCTGCTCATCTTGATTTCGTGGATTTCTCTGAAATAACTGTGTATAAACTTTTTAGAGAGGTTCTATTACCACGTTCTGTTTAATATATAAAATCAATATTGTATTTTGCATGTTTAAAAGACTGAGCTCAAAATAGTATGCAAAGATGGCGTGTACCTCTTTTTAGATAAATACCTCCTTCATTTTAAGATTATGTTTAAGTAATTCCTATGCAAGTCGTGAATTAGAAAGTAATTATTTTATAGGTTCTAGAGAAAATATTAGTTGGTTTTCCAGACCATAACAGTTTAAACTTGGATGTCCACCAGCGGCCGAGCGGTAACGTCGCTGAACACTGGTAGTTCGGTCCGAGGTTCGAATCCCGCGAACGGGCTGGCTGCATGGGTGTTTTCGTGGTTTTCCCCATGTGTAACGTGTATACGAGCCATTTCCCTTAAAAAGTCCTCCACGAAGGTATCCCTCCCTTAAGGCAGATAGCCCTCGAGTGCTTTGCCGTAATCTAATTATACCATATCACCAGCGGCTGAGCAGTAAAGTCGCTGAAGACTGGTAGTTCGGTCTGGGGTTTAAATCCCGGAGAACGGCTTGGCTGCATGAGCGTTTTCGTGGTTTTCCCTTGGAAAGTCCTCCACAAAGACGTCCCTTCTTTTAGGCAGATAGCACTCGAGTGCTTTGCCATTATTAAGTAAACCAAACCACCAGCGGCCGATGGACTATAGCCGCGAAAATAGTGATGTAATTTGTCCAGGATTCGATTCCTGCCAATAGTATTGTGTATGGACAATGGAAATATGAGACCTTTTTTCTTTCCAAGTATTCCATTGACGATGTCAGTCTCCTGTTAGTGGTATACTTTGTCACAATCAATCGGCGGCCGAGCGGTAAAGTCGCTGAACACTGGTAGTTCGGTCCGAGGTTCGAATCCAGCGAACGGGCTGGCTGCATGGCTGTGTTTTCGTGGTTTTCCCCATGTGTAAACGTGTATACGAGCCAGTTCCCTTAGAAAGTCCTCCACGAAGGCATCCCTGCCCTTAGGCAGATAGCCCTAGTGTGCTTTGCCATAAATTAATACACCACGCCACCAGTCAATCAGCCATCTGTTTTCCGTCCATAAAATGAAGGGAAGAATCATGAGAGTGAAATAACCTCTTCTCCAATTGTTTCTAGATCTCCCTTTAATGCAGTGTAATAGTAATTAAGAAATAAAGTAACTTTGCAGAATATATCCATTAGAAAGATATTTGTAATTATCACAATTTCTCTGCGATTTCAACGTTGTTAGGGTAAATTTGATGGAAAATGTGAAAGGAATTTCCTGAATTTTTGTTGTTTTTGTCATTACATGAATAATTTGTAAAGTCGTATTCATAAGTATATATTCCAGGTGCGAACGAAACATACTATTTGAAAACGGATATAAAAAAAAGGGCTGCTACTTATAATGATGGCAAAGCGCACGAAAAAAATCATGTATAAGTATTTATAACTTCAGAGAAAATATCTATGATTTTTTTTTTCATTATTACGTGAAAATTTTAAGGTATTAACTTGAGTGTTGCTACGCAGTTTAAAAAAAAATATGATCGGAAATGGTTGCTTCATACATACGAAACAAATCTTAAAATTCCGAAATTTTTGTCGAAAATTTTGAAAATTCAATAAATGTATTTTACACTTAATGCACTTTTGTAAAAACTGTCACACTGCTAATTTTATTTAACAAAATATTCTCAAAGTCAACCAGAAAGTCCCTCGTATTTTCTTTATTCGCTCTTTTGAGAAGTACCTCCCCGATCAAATCATCCTCCTGCTCCTTAATATGGATTAACAATAACGTGCTGTAAGCAATCTTATTTGACGGTTTCTCAGAAATCTATGACGTGACTAGAGCGGCTTCCCTTAGAAATTCTTTCACGAACGCGTCCTTCCCATAGGCAGATAGCCACTTGCATAAAATGCCATTTAATAATTTTTGTCCATGGTTAAAATTAGGAGTCTCGATTCGAGGCGAACGGGCTGGCTGCATGGTTGATTTTCGTGACTTATCCCATGTTGTAACGTCAATACCATCCAGTTTCCCTTTACGAAACCCCCATTCCCGTAGACAGATAGCTTTCACGAGCTTTTCTTAGGCATAATTAACGTTTTTAAGGAATTGAATTTTTCTTTTAATTATTTCAAAAAAAAAAAAATCAAATTTTGGTGTGCATTTTCATGCGTGTAAATTCGCTGAAAAATACTAGGCTATTGAAAAATGTTTGAGTATTTTTTGTAAGGAATGAAAATGAATGAAAGCAGCACTATCTATAAATGTAATCCAACAGATCGTGATTTACTGAGGCCCAGCGGTAAAGTCGTTGAACACTGGTAGTTCGGTCCGAGGTTCGAATCACTCGAACGGGCTGACGTGCATGGGCGTTTTCGTGGTTTTCCTCATGTGTAACGTGTATACGAGCTAGTTTTCCTTAGAAAGTCCTCCACGAAGGTATCCCTCTCCTTAGATAGCCCTCGAGGCTTTGCCATATAATCGCCTAAAGTAAACGTCATTTACTGAAGAAAAAGTGCCCCTATCTGTTTTTCATTGAATCTAAATCGATTGAATTGAATCGGAATCGATTTCAATTGAATCGAAATCGATTCAGTTGTATCTCTCTGCCCTATAAAATTTAAAAGCTACTATTTCTTTTAAAAGCTTTCCAACAGATACATGTCACTCCCCTTGCTGTAATTTATTGTCGAGCAAATTTGGTGATCATCCTGTGAAGTAACTGTACATCTAAAAGATAAAATTTCTTACCGTCATTGCAAGTGGCTGAAATTTATTGCTGAGCAGGACT